AACGAATTATTGCTGCTTTTAGAGGGACAAAAKTGTCACATACCAGCACCTAAAACCCACTATGCAAAGGACATCGTTTTTAGCCGAGACACTMCAATATTCGCTACAAGCAAGCATCAACTGGTATATATAARGGGGRGATGTGTTGATGAACGTGAGACTGAAATGATGTCTGTCCGCTGGAATATAATTCACCTAAACGTACAGATTGCTCAACAGAAGCAACGCGAAATYCCRCCTTGTGGTCGTTGCTTCGCAACGCTTTTACTGGRCTCGCAATAGTATTACCAATTTTAATTAAAAGCAAGCAAGAAGTCACGCTATCAATGTATGATAAATTTGGCACAACTTATGTACAAAAGTTATTATTTTTCAACGCAGATAGTTATAATTTGATGTACTCTATAACATAATTTAAAAAAACACACGAGGAACCACGCTGTACCACGCGGAACCAAGGGTCGTTATAAATAGAGCCCCGGTTTCATTTTTATACGCGTAGTTGTTGGTACAGCGTGGTTCCTCGTGACTTTTTTTATATATTTGTTAAGAAGGAGGTTTATTGCAAATATTGTACAAGTTTTATTTCAATTGAGTACAAATTTGGTATGAAAATAACGAAATTAAATTTCTGTGTTATGGGTGACCTGTGTTCAAATAGAGCACAGGTAACCCAAAATAATBWTTAAAGTAAAGGGTGTGTTTTTCTTGTCAGTCATATTTTAGTGGACAAGAAACGCAATAATTTTTAAAACCATTTTATTGTGTCACTCTGCATCATTAATATTTAAGTTTAGCGCCTTTTCGTTGTATTATAAGATCCATTCTTTCATTCATAGTGTCTACTATAGAATTAAGCACGTCAACTCTTTGATTTTTTATAGTTTGAATGACTCTATCAGCAAAGTCATCATATGTTTCATAAGTAATTTGTTGTAATAAAGCTTGTTCGTACAGATCTTCTCGAACTAGATTGAATAGATTTTCAATAGGGTGAATATCCGGACTTCTAGGAGGTATAGGCAGTAATGTAGCATTCAATTTTTGAAATTGTTCTCTTGCTGACGCGCAATTTTGACTTGGATCACCATCCTGCATCCAATATCGTGAACGTCCCTTCTTTGCTTTTTTAAACAGACTTGGAAACTTGCGTATTACATAGTCAGTATAATATTCACCGTCCATGTGCTCATATTGTTCTACATCGATCACACCTTCATTGTAAGTCATAGCCACAATCAATTTCACTAATTTTCCTC